TTTTTTTTAGGAAAGTTATTTAGCATCACATGAGAATGGTACAAAAACTTTAATTTTAAGTTTAATTTAAGGTTCAGGTTTTGGTTCCGAATAATGGTAATTTTTTGTCGCGATGAATACATATTTTTAAATAATAGTATTATAATATATATATATATATATATATATATATATATATATATATATATTATGCTCTACAGTGTATCGAGCACTGTTTTTTAAAATAAATGCTAAAGAACTGTGGATTATAAAACTGACTGGTCTTTCTTTTTTTTGTTTTATATATATATATATATATATATATATATATATATATTATAAATTAATTGATTTAAAATATTTTTTTTCGCTACAGAGTTCTAACCATGTTTCAAAAATGGAAGCTAAAAGCTACGAATTTAATTTTGTAATTAAATTAAAGACATTAATTCCATTTCATCTTCAAGCGAATTTTGGAGTAACTTTTAAAATTACTGGGTTTTAAAGACACAGCAAAAATCATAATTCACGTTTCCAAGGATACAGAGAAATCGACTTCCACCAGACAAGAGGTGGTTGCGTGTTCATCATGTCTGTATTTTGATGTATCCGTTATTAGTTACATTTTGGTAGGGGGTAGGGATGTATTTTTCAATGAAATCTGACATCCGTTAAATGCATGTCGTCTGGATTTTTTTAAAATTTTATTGTTAACGGCAAAAATTCTTACGGCATTTTTTTCTATTTGTATATTTAAAGATTTTGGGGGGGTGTTAAGGTCAGAATACGTTTTATTTAACTACGATTTGAAAAGATATTTTCACTTTTAATTTTTAATATACTATATTTCTTTTAAGAACTATTAAATGCATTAGGTTGGTGCAAAAATAATGACGTAATAATGTCGTTTTGTGACGTATTTTTTAACGTCAAAAAACGACATTATTACGTCATTATGTTTGCACCAACCTAATATTAGCATCCCTTTCAGTATGAAGATTTTCACATTAAGCATAAATATGTATATTATTACGTAACAATTTTTTTTTATATTTAAATATTATTTAAGTAAAATTTATGACAATGACGCCAAAAATAGCTAATTAATTTCACTGATTTAGTAAACTTTTATTTTTTATATAAACCTAGTAATATCTTGTTTCTCATGTAAGTACAAAGGACCTGGGTCATTCAAAAGCTTACATCTTCTAGAATTCATATTAATTTCATTTTACTGTAGGTGTTTTATTGGATTATTTTAAGTGCTTGTAGTGCTAAGAGGGAGGTCTTTAGGTTAGATTACGTTTTATTTAATTACAATTTTAAAAGAAGTTTAGGTTAGAATTCGTTTTATTTAACTACAATTTTAAATACAACTTTAAAATATTTTCACTGTTAGTTTTAATAGACTATATTTGTTTTTAAAAGAAGTAAATGTATTAGAATTACTTATAGTAAGTAAAATTATTTTTCCATATCAAGTATAAGTATGTATATTACGATTTTTAAAATTTTATATTTAAATATTATTTAAGTAAAATTTGACACTTACGGCAAAAATAGCTAATTCATTTCTCTGATTTAGTGAATATATATATATATATATATGTGTGTGTGTGTGTGTGTGTGTGTGTGTGTGTGTCCAGAAAGTCATTATTGAATAAAAATCTTAATCGCAGTAAATTATCAGTCGTCTTTAACTAAACTAATATATATTAGGTTGGTGCAATAATGTCGTTTTCTATTTTGAAGTTAAATGTAAAAAAACGACATTATTTTTGCACCAACCTAATACTTTATATATATATTTTAATGTTTATACATTCTTTTTATAGATGCAAATATTTAAGTAAATGCTCTGTTTATAATAAACAGTATTAAATACCATTTATCGGCCTGAATGTCCGAGAAATTTTCATAGAAAATATTCGTCTTCCGACAGGATTCGAACCTGTATCCTATACAAAACAGTCATGTAGCTTGATGTGCCTTTAACCGATTTGGCCACAGAGGATCGTTCGGTTAGCAAAGTCGATTTTACTGTATTTGAACTTCAATCTTCTATGGATCTCTCACGTACATTCATATCTGCTCATGGCGTATCCAAATGTAAACAATGACGTCACACATAATGAAATGGACAAAGCCCGACAATTATTTTAAGACATTCTATAAAAAGTGGTATATACTTTCAAGGGATAAATTATGTCATTCACAGACAATACTGTTTCGCTGTATTACAGGTCCTCAGTATTAAATTTATTTAAATCTTTCACGAGCTTTCGATCCTTAAGTAAGTTTAATTAATGATGAACATGTCATTTTCGCTTATGATCTATTTCTTCACGATTCTTCTGATATGCTTGTAGAGTAATTATACAATCTTATTGCTCAAAGTAGGGTTCGATAGTGTTAGAAAACCTCTGAGAATTCCAGTAAGATATCTTTAACCATTTCTAAAAATACAACGGTTTAGAGCTTAATCTAACAATCGGACAATTCATTACACTACATTAGCACTATTTTATGAACAAATATCTCTATACGATTGACTGTTACTTGATAGGGTGTTGAGACTAAGGCTGCCTGTCATGATAAAATGTAATCTGTATGACTGATAAATTGTGTCACTTGACTTGATGGCAAATAAATGAATAGATGCACGCTGGTTTTCCGCCGTTACGTATTTTGCGCGGAAGAAACAAGTATGTAAAATAAAAAAAAAGTAACAGAAAATTAATATATATATATGTATAGTCGTCGACTCTCCCGTCGATATTCGACGTATGAGGGTCAAGCAGATCAGTTTCCAGGAAATCGACAGCCCGACAACGGCACATGAGATTTGATTATAGTGGTGAAGGCTTCGTGCAGAACCATCCACACATTTTGAAGGGAAGAATACAGAGACCTGGTGCATCACGTGCCACAAGGTTCCCCAAACGGCGCTCCGCAGGTTGTGGATTCAGAGTTGTCCTTCCCTACACCAGTTGCCATCCAAGGCTATAGAACCCAGTATATATATATATATATATATATATATATATATATATATATATATATATATATATTGTCATCCACAGATAGACTGTTTCGCTCTATCACAGCTCATTAAATCGATTGATTGATTGATCGATTGGCTGTTTCGTTTTAAATGCATATCTACTCTGACGGTTGTTTAATGCCGACAAGATTTTTTTTATTGAATATATGTCTTCTAAACAATCCTTTGTGTCGTTGCTTCTATCACTCTCCGGTTATGACTCTAAAGCGGAATCATTTAGGGCTATAATTTGTGATATAGACCAACCTCCTTCAAGTAAGGTAAGATGGAGTGGGCACGGTGGAGTAATGGATAGCGGCTTGGATTGAGGAATCGAAGTGCCGAGTTCGAATTCCAGTCGAATCCATTACATTCACTTACGTGTTAATACCTTTGGGAAAGGTGTGCATCCTCTTCTTCTCCCTCCAGCTATGGGTAAATAGCAAGATAGACAGGGTTCTATAGCCTTGGATGGCAATTGGTCTAGGAGAAGGAAAACTCTGAATTCAAAACCTGCGGTGGGTCGTTTGGGGACCTTGTGGCACGTAGTGCACCAGGTTTCTGTATTCGGCCCTTCAAAAAGTGTAGATGGTCCTGCACGAAACCTTCACCACTATAAGCAAATCTCATGTGCTATACATGCGGGTTTGGGGACCGCTCGTGAATTCCAAATTCCCATGAAACTCCAATATTGGAGCCGGCTCAACCCACCCCGGGTGGATGCCGTTACAAGAACTAGAGAGAGATAAGATACTCTCTACTTTTATATTCTTAAAAAAAGGCTCCTCTGGATTCGCCATGTCATGAAATCTTTGACTTATAGGAACAAGGTCATTATAATCGGTTAGAAAATGTTTTACAATACTTATTTCCAGTAGGATGTTCGTCTTATTTAGGGAAATAGGTGAGTGATATATGTGTATTCTATTCTGATTCTTAATATGACTTCTTCCTTCCAAGAAAATCTGAGACCATGATGCATTTCTCCTAGAATGGGTAATTTTTGTTGTAACCTAGGGAAGGTTACTGACTAGAATAATCAAACGAAGGTTGGTAATGAACGATAATACATAGGACAAGAACAACACATATAAGATTCGCCAGCGGCGCGTAAAAAAAATAGTCAACAACTAAAAGTGAGTCAAATGAGTTCCACAATGAATCTCCAACTGTAGGATATCTACCAAACCCCCCACGTGGTCAGATATGGCACAAGGTCGAATTTAATGTGAGGTATCCGATCCCGTAAGCTCGGCCAAAAATACCCCGTAGACATCGTATAAAACAAGGTCGGGTAGCTGTTTGCCGAGATGAGACTCTGCTCTTCGACATAGCTTCGTCTGGGGATCCTTTCTGCCTATAGACAGAGAGTTTGACCAGCACAGATGGAGATGGATCTTTAACTGCAGACCAACATACAGTATTTACTACTGTATTTATGTGAATGTGGACATACCCATTATCGTCCATAGGTATGCTACATCATTTATGTCAAATTTGTTGCTTGGGTGGTAGTTCTATAACACTTGGCAATTGTTTAGCAAGTATGAATTTATAGTTGCTTTGAAGTTTGTATAGAGGATTTTCAAATTTAAAATATTCATTGATATATATATATATGTGTGTGTGTGTGTTTGTCTTATGATAGGCCACAAAGAATTTCTTAAATCGTAAAAGGGTGCTGAAGTAAACATTATTTTCAGTCGCCCCATCTTTCGTGTCGTCCTGAATCGCACCGCCCCAAGCACTGAGTCGACCCAAATTCAATCAAGACAATATGAAACAACTTCGATCAGTTTCTCCGGAAAACTATCAGAAAATTGATATATATTGGATTTATTTGATAGTGTTCGCCTTCACTAGCTCTGTCCCGGCACGCTTCGTTTCTACACTCCCTAACTACCACGTCATTCACCAACCCCCCTCCACCACCACCACCACCGACCAACCTCCTTCCCCATCCAATTCTCCCCAATTAATGATTCCTCCTCCACCTCCTCTTTCACCAAGTCTAACGTTTTCCTTTTTTCCAATTCGGTGTGCGACTGTGTTTTGTGATTCCGTTCTCCTCGGGGCGACCCTGTTGCTCTCTTTCACTCCTTCCCTCTCTTTCAATCTCTCTCTCTCTCTTTCACACTCTCTCTCTACTTCACTCCCTCCCTCCCTCTCTCTCTCTCTTTCACTCTCTCCCTCTCTTTCATCCCCTCTCTATCTCTATCTCTCACTCCCCTCTCTCTTTCACTCCCTCCCTATCTCTCTCTTTCACTCCCCACTCTCTTTCACTCTCTCTCTTTCACTTCCTCCCCCTCTCTCTCTCCATCCCTCCCTCTCTTTCACTCCTTCTCTATCTCTCTCTCTTTCCCCCCTCTCTCTTTCACTCCGTCCCTATCTCTCTCTTTCACTCCATCCTCCTCTCTCTCTTTCACCCCTCCCTCTCTTTCACTCTCTCTCTTTCACCCCATCCCCCTCTCTCTCTCTCTTTCACTCCCTCCCTCTCTTTCACTCTTTCAGTCCCTCCCTCTCTCACTTTCACTCTCCCCTCTCTTTCACTCTCACTCTCTTTCACTCACTCTCTGCCACTCTTTCACTCTCTCTTTCACTTCCTCCTTCTCTCTCTTTCACTCCCTCCTTCACTCTCTCTCAATCTCACTCTCTTTCACTCCTTCCCTCTCTCTTTCACTCCCTCCCTCTCTCTTTTTGTTTTTTCTCTTTTCTTCTCCCTTTCTTTCTTCCTTCTCTTTTCCTTCCATTGCCTTTCTTTTTTTTCCTCCCTGTTTATTTTCCCGTCTCTTTATTGTTCTATTTTCTCTGTCTCTCTCGTGTTTTTTTTAAATCCCCCTCTCTCTATCTCTCTTTCTCTCTCTCCCTCTCTTTCTCTCTCTCCCTCTTTGTTTCAATTCTGGATTGTCCCTTCTCTCATCCTGTTTATCACGTTCTCGTTTTCTTTCTGTCGTTCTTTCTTTCTTCTTGTTCCTTTCACCCTGTCTCTCTCTCTCTCTCTCTTTATCTTTTTGTGCCTTCTCTCTATTGCTTTCCGTCTTTTTCTCTCTCTTGCTTTATTTTGTCCTTCTTTTTTCTTGCTCTCGTAACCTCTCTCTTTTCTTATCTTGTTATATATATATACATATATAAGTATTTATTTAAAAATATGATTCCAACACGCTACATAAGAGTTCTCATGCTTCAAAACAAGAACCGAAAACTTTAATATAATTATTTGAATTAAATTGAATTAAAGTACCAATTTCGCTTGAAGATGGAACAGAGCTTGGTACTTTAATTCAATTTAATTCAAATAATTATATTGAAGTTTTCGGCTCTTGTTTTGAAACATGAGAACTCTTATGTAGCGTGTTGGAATCATATTTTTAAATAAATAATTATATTTATGCTCTACTTTTGTATCGAGCTCTATTTTTTAAAATAATAACAAAAATACTACTATTTACCTAACCAGTTCCTTCCTATTTTCTATATATTTCACACACACACACACATATATATATATATATACTCGACTCTCCCGTCGAATTCGACGTATGAGGGTCAAGCAGATGAGTTCCTAGGAAACCGACAGCCCGACAACAGCACATGAGATTTGATTATAGTGGTGAAGGTGAAGAACTTTGGATTATTTACCTAACGAGTTCTTTCTTTCCTATTTTCTATATATATTTTTACACACACAAACACACACACACACACACATATATATATATATATATATATATATATATATATATATATTATTATTCTTATTCGATATTGTTTGTTTCTTTTTCGTTTCTAATCTTTTTTTTTTCCTTCATTCATTCATTTCTTTCTTTCATTTTATCTTTTCTTGTAACTTCTTTCTTTCCCTCTACTTTTCGTTCATTTACTCTTTTGTGCTGATTTTTTTTTCCTTTCTTTCTCTTTTGTTTTTTTTTTATTTCTTTATTCATTTCTTTCTTTATTTTATTTAATGTTTTGTTCTGATTTTTTCTCTCTTTCTTTCTTTCTTTCATTTACTTTTTTTCTTGTGACTTTTTCTTCGTTTCTTTCCTTCACTTTCTCATCTGTTCTGACATTTTCTTTCTTTCTTTCTTTCTTTCTTTCATTTCATCTTTCGTATTTTTTTTCTTTCTTTTATTTTCTTTATCTCTCTTTTCTGGTCTTATTTCTTCCTTTATTTTAGTTTTCTTTCTTTCTTTCTTTCATTTACTCTTTCGTTCTGCCTTTTTTTCCATTTTCATTCTTTCTTTTTCATTTTCTTTCGTTTTTTTTTCATTTTTTTTTTTATTTCTTTTCTTTCGTATTTTTTTTTCTTTTTCTTTCTTTTTTTTTTTTTTCGTTTTCTTTTTTCTTTGGTCTTTTTTTTCTTTCTTTTCTTTTTTATTTTATCTCTCTTTTCTGGTTCCTTTATTTAGTTTTCTTTCTTTCTTTCTTTCTTTCTTTCATTTACTCTTTCGTTCTGACGTTTTCTTCCATTCTTTCTTTCTTTCTTTCTTTCATTTCATCTTTCGTATTTTTTTTCTTTCTTTTATTTTCTTTATCTCTCTTTTCTGGTCTTATTTCTTCCTTTATTTTAGTTTTCTTTCTTTCTTTCTTTCTTTCTTTCATTTACTCTTTCGTTCTGACGTTTTCTTCCATTCTTTCTTTCTTTCTTTCTTTCATTTCATCTTTCGTATTTTTTTTCTTTCTTTTATTTTCTTTATCTCTCTTTTCTGGTCTTATTTCTTCCTTTATTTTAGTTTTCTTTCTTTCTTTCTTTCTTTCTTTCATTTACTCTTTCGTTCTGACGTTTTCTTCCATTCTTTCTTTCTTTTTCATTTCATTTCATTTTTCTTTTTTTTTTTTTTCTTTTCTTTTATTTTATTTTATTTCTCTCTTTCTGGTCTTTCATTTCTTTCCTTTATTTTAGTTTTCTTTCTTTCTTTCTTTCTTTCTTTCATTTTCGTATTTTTTTTCTCTTTTATTTTCTCTCTTTTCGGTTTTTTTCCATTTAGTTTTCTTTTTTTTCTTTCTTTCTTTCATTTCATCTTTCGTATTTTTTTTTCTTTTCGTATTTTTTTTTTTATTTTCTCTCTTTTCTGGTCTTATTTCTTCCTTTATTTTAGTTTTCTTTCTTTCTTTCTTTCTTTCTTTCATTTACTCTTTCGTTCTGACGTTTTCTTCCATTCTTTCTTTCTTTCTTTCTTTCATTTCATCTTTCGTATTTTTTTCTTTCTTTTATTTTCTTTATCTCTTTTCTGGTCTTATTTCTTCTTATTTTATTTTCTTTTTTCTTTTTCTTTCTTTCTTTCTTTCATTTACGTTTTCTTTCATTCTGACGTTTTCTTCCATTTCATCTTTTTATTTTTTTCTTTTTTTATTTTTTTATTTCATTTTTCTTTATTTTTTTTCTTTCTTTCTTTTTTCTTTATCTCTCTTTTCTGGTCTTTTTCTTCCATTTTTTTTAGTTTTCTTTCATTTTCTTTTTTTTTCTTTTCTTTTTATTTTTATTTTTCTCTCTTTTCTGGTCTTATTTTCTTTATTTTACGTTTTCTTCCATTCTTTTTTCTTTTCTTTCTTTCTCGTTCTGATTTCATCTTTCTTTTCTTTTTTTTTTCATTTTCTTTTTATTTTTTTTTTTATTTTTCTTTATCTCTCTTTTCTGGTCTTATTTCTTCCTTTATTTTAGTTTTCTTTCTTTCTTTCTTTCTTTCTTTCATTTACTCTTTCGTTCTGACGTTTTCTTCCATTCTTTCTTTCTTTCTTTCTTTCATTTCATCTTTCGTATTTTTTTCTTTCTTTCTTTTCATTTCTTTCATCTTTCTTCCTCTTTTTTGTAACTTCTCTTTATCACTTTCATTCTTCTTCTCTCTCTTGCTTTATTCGTCTTCTTCTTTCTAAATCTTTCTCTCTTCTAACCTTGTTATCGTCATCGTTTCTTCGCTTCTTTTTTTCTATATTTTTTTTCTTTTGCTTTCGTAGTCTTGTTTTCCTTTCTTTCTTTCTTCCTTCGTTTCTTTTTTTCTTTCTTTTTTTCTTTCTCTCCAATTGTCTCTCTCTATCTTTTTCTAACAACACTTCCAATCTTATCCTCTTCCTTCATTTATTTTACCTTTTTTTCCCTCTTTATACTTTAAGAATATTCTTTTGATTTTTCTTTCGTTCTTTCTTTTTTTTATTTTCTTTATCTCTCTTTTCTGGTCTTATTTCTTCATTTATTTTCTTTTTCTTTCTTTCTTTCTTTCGTTTCTTTAACCTTTTCTTTTTCATTTCTTTATCTCTTCATCTAGATATTTCTTTTTTTTTCTTTCTTTCTTTCTTTCATTCTTTCTCTCTTTCCTTCTTTTCTTCTTTCTTTCTTTCTTTGTCTTTTTAGCCTTTTCTTGTCTTCTACATTTCTTTATCTCTGTATCTAGATATTTCTTTCTTTTTATTTCTTTTTCTTTCTTTCTTTCTTTCTTTCTTTCTTTCTTTCATTCTTTCTTTCTTTCCTTCCTATCCATTCTATTATCGATGATTGCCTTGCGATTCTGGACGCGCCCCCCGCCCGTCCTCAACCGCCAGCAATATCTTATGAACAATTCCGATTTCATTATCTCCATTTCCCATTCTCACCCATTTCGTCTTTGCACCGGTCTTCACTGCATCTTTTTAGGTTGTTGTTGTTTTCCCTTCTTAAAAAGCGATACTGTCCCTTTTCCTCGCTATCAACACGATCGCTACCAACCTAACCTTTTGTCCCCGTAAACCACTTCAATTTTTCCTGTTCTACCTTCGCAAAGATTTCACGCTTGATCGTTCATTCCCGCTTTTGCTGCAGACATCGACCGTCCTTCCTCAACTGCAGCCATGTTTATCCACAGTTCGCGACACAGTCTTTTCAGTTTTAGCAAAAGAGACAAATGAATTAGTAAATTTTCATAGATTTCTCTCTCTCTTTTCTCTCTCTCATTCACACACACTATTTATCTACATGAACTCACGCAGACACTATATATATATATATATATATATATATATATATATATATATATATATATGTATGCATACATACGTGAGCGGGTACATATGTGTTTGTTTTCTTTTTATCGCTCGCTCCTTTGTACCAATACTCTTTATTTCACTATTTTTACCTTTTATTTCAATGACTTCATCTATCTATCTATCTATCTATCTATCTATCTATCTATCTATCTATCTATCTATCTCAGTCATTTCATTATCTATCTATCTATCTATCTATCTCAGTCATTTCATTTCTATCTATCTATCTATCTATTTCAGTTATTTCATTTCTATCTATCTATTTATCTATCACAGTTACTTTATATCTAACTGTCGGTCGGTCAGTCTATCTATCTATCTATCCATCTATCTAGAACAGTCACTTTATATCTATCTATCTATCTATCTATCTATCTATCTATCACAGTTACTTTATGTCTAACTGTCGGTCTATCTATTTATCTATCTATCTACCTATCTCAGTCTGTTCATTATCGATCTAATCTATCACAGTCATTTTATATTTCTATTTATCACAGTTAATTCTATCTATCTATCTATCTATCTATCTATGTATCAAAGTCACTTTATATCTATCTATCTATCTATCTATCTATCTATCTATCTATTACAGTTAGTCTCAGAGATTACGGTGTTGTCAGTATCACGGTTTCATATCTACCTTAATGATAATAAGATAAACACACACACACACACACACACACACACATATATATATATATATATATATATATATATATATGGGTAGCAATTTTTTAGTGTACGTGTTTGGGTAAAGGTCAATTCATTTTACAGGAACCATTCTTATCCGCCAGCTTTCCTAACATTCAGCGGTGAGAAAAACACAAATGCTTTTTATTACGTGTTCGCGATTTTTCCTTCATTTTTTTTATTCTCCTTGTCATTTCGAGACGTCAGCCTTCAAGGCTCTCCACAGCTTCTTGACTTTCCCTGTATTAATTACTTGACACTTTACCATAGCCCTTTGTGCATGTTCTTCCATCACTTCACACGATTTCGTTGAATAATTTACTCACTATTTCCCCATACTTCTCTTGCTTTCAGTATGACATGGGAGTGTTAAATTCTCTAGGCACTCTTTCCTCATGATGTGTCCGATAAATTTCAATTGTCTCTATCTGACTGCATGCAAGATTTTCCTTTTTGTTCCTATTTTACTTAAGACACTGTCATTGTTCAAATATGGCGTCAATGTTTTTCTGAGGATTCATCGACAGAACTGCGTCTCTGTAGGTTCAAGTCTGTCTGTCTGTCTCTCTCTCTCTCTCTCTCTCTATATATATATATATATATATATATATGTGTGTGTGTGTGTGTGTGTGTGTGTGTGTGTGTGTGTGTGAAAATTTCTCAGAATTAACCTTTAGAAAAAGACATATATAAAGGTAAAAGGGAGTAGGAAAATATGTATTATTAACCGACGCGTTTCGTCCATTGTGGAATTTTCAAGGCAAAACAAAATGTCCTTAGCAACTAGGAGCATTTAGAAAATGCTATTGTATTCATATTGTCAACTTTAAATACATATGAATACAATAACGTTTTCTAAATAAAATCATCCTTGATAACGGCTAAAAATATAGCCGAAAGCGCTCGGAATTAAATTTTTCTCGCCGGAGTCAATCCTTCAAATCTACAAATCAACCATTCACCCTTGCATGGAGTATTGCTGCCATATATGGTCTGGTGCCCCTACTGTTTCTCTCAGGGTCCTTGATAAAATCCAGAGACGGATGTGCAATGTAATTGGCCCTGATCTGGCATCTCGTCAGCAGTCGCTCTCTCACAGACGTACCGTCGCCTCCCTCTGTCTTTTTTACAAATACTTTCACAGTAACTGCTCTGAGGAGCTGCTTTTGCTGGTTTCAAGACTTCATGAATTTAAGCGTTCAACTAGGCTGGCATCTCGCTCTCAACCTTTCACTGTTGAAACTGTTAAATGTAACCGTCTCTTCTACTCCAATAGCTTCATGTCTCGCACTTCTCGCCTGTGGAACTCCCTCCCCTTTTCCTGTTTCCCTGATAGCTATAATCTCCAACTATTCAAATGTAATGTCAATCGACATCTCCAGATACCCTGATCTATCCACTATCCTTCTCTTCATCCTTTCCTCTATCACTCCCTATTTGCTCTCCTCTAACTATCTTTAACTCCTTGTGTGCTAGTGACTTCCTGCCTTGCTTAGGGTTGAATGTTTGAAATATATATATATATATATATATATATATATATATATATATATATATATGTGTGTGTGTGTGTGTGTGTGTGTGTGTATATATATATATATATATATATATATGCAAACACACACACACACATATCTATATATATATATATACATGTACATGTACGCACACATACACACATATACGCACACATACACATATTTGGTCTGTTTTTTTTTTAAATCAGCCGACTCCAAGTAAGTTCCCCGTCCTTCTTAACATCAGCTCATATATCGTATTGGGCTTTTATTGTTTTTGTGACAATCAGTGAAATAATGTCCTGGTTCTTGTCTTAGGTTTACTGATGCGAACTGCAGAATAAGTGAACTCTCAATTCATTTTCTCCTCATTAGAATGGCGTTCTTTATATCAAAACTGGAAAAAGCCTAGGCGAAAATTAATATTTGGGTAATATCCTAGAGAGTGCCGTCATTGAATATTACCCAAATATTAATCTACGCCCAGGCTTTTCCCCTTTTTCACCTTTCTTAACAGAATTACTACTCTCCCAAACAAACGTACAGGACAGTATCGTGAAATCAAAAGAAAATGATTGAATCCGTCAACATAACAATATCTCCACACGTGACAGTAATTGCCGTAATTTTCAGTTAACAGTATGAAAATAGGGTTCTCTAAATTCTTCCAGTTGCTAAGGACATTTTGTTTTTGTTATTATTAGTTACTTTGTTTAAATAAATTCATTTCGTTTCTTGTCTTGAAACTGGACGAAACGCTTCGGAAACTATTACAGTTTTCCTATTGTCATTTATATTTATAAATATTGTCTTTTTCTACATTAACTATGTAAGATTTTTCATATATATATATATATATATATATATATAATAATGGACTCTCCCGTTGGTTTCGACGTATGAGAATCTGACAGCTTAGTTGATTTACTTATGAAATTTTGTGCGATAAACTTGGCATTTAAGACCCGCTAGTGATTTACAAAGGAGGCCACATACGAAGCAAGTGTGAGGATTGTGAGATGAGATCACTGTTAGATTGGCTGACCTTTTAGATCTTGCTCTCACTTCTTGAAAATGATTCAGACAAGTAGATTGAAAACTGCTGAGTCTACTAAAACATGTTGATTTCCATTCTACCCGCTCCAAGGCTAAGGGCCCAAGGGTGTTATGTGGTATATTGACTGCTGACAAGTTGCTTTTCAGCTTGTCTTTGTATCTTAGCCATGGGCGTCCTACATTCCTGTAGCCCTGATCTAACTGGCTGTACATTAGGATCTTGGGTATCCTGTCATCAGACCTTCTCAAGACATGACCAGTCCATCGTAATTGAGACTGTATGAGAATAGTTTCGATTCCTACAATATTACACCTGTTAAACAGGTCTACGTTAGATGTCCTATCTTGAAGGTTAACTCACACACACACACACACACACACACACACACACACACACACACACACACACACATATATATATATATATATATATATATATATATATATATATATATATGTCATTGAAGAAATAATCAGTTTAGATTTGTTTATTTAACAAATAACATGGAGTGAAAAAAGAACGCACACAGACACATCCCGTGCGTTCGGGTAAATGCAAACGCGCATTGATGTACACGCATGCGCAGACTTAGTTACGGCGCCATTTTGAATTTAAACATTACGCTTTTTAAGCTCGATTGAAAATAAATAGTAGAATGTGTTAGAATGTATTCTTTGGTTGATTCTTGTCTATCATTCTTGATAGAAATATTATGTAGGCCATTTGAGAATTGTGGAGAAGAGAAAAGCGACTTTCTGCTGATAATGTGTCTCAGTCAAAGACAAATGAGTGGCAATGATTCTTTATCAGGCAGCCATTTAAGGAATTTAATGTTTTCTTCACTGAATCTATTTGCTTCTCTCTTTTCCCTGATGAGGCTTTTCGCCGTCAAAATGCCGCTGCCGGTGGTGTCGTTATGAATATGACAGAACTTTGGCCAACGGATTGTCGATAAAATGAATTAATCAATTGCAGTGGACGCTTCTCGTACGGTTATCTGATTACATTTCCAGATAATTACTGTCTTTCCTCAAGGCAAGCATTATATCCTTTGGGACTGGCTTTCCGGTTCCTTAAGTCTACTCGAATTCTATAAATCTAACGTCTACGCCGGAACTTTTTTACTATTTTTCCCCTTCAATAGTAGATAGGTCCACCTCTCGTCCGGTTCACACTTCTCCCGGGACTTTTGAACAGAAGAAGAGGTTTATCCCTTGTTTCCTGATCAGGATTGGGTTTCCGGTTCCTTCTAAAGTCTACTTCGATTCTGTACTTCTAACGTCTTCGGCTAAACTCTGGGATTTTATTTACTATTTATTAATCTATTTTTGCTCCATAGGTGTAGATATGTTCGATTACCGGCCGGTTCACACTCCTCCCCGGTCTTTTGAACCGTAATAGAGTTTTATTCCTTATTTCTTTTTTAAGATTGGGTTTCTAGTTCCTTCAAAAGTCTACAATTCTATACCTAACGTCCCTGCTTCCACTATGTAATTTTATTTACTGTTTATTCACTATTTTTCCTTCCGTAGGAGCAGACAGGTTTGCATATCACCCGGTTCACACTCCTTAGTTGCTTTTTGAACAGGAGTAGAGGGTTCATCCCTTGCTTTCGGTTTCTTCTAAATTAAACGACAACTCTATATTTCTAATGTCTCCGCCGGAACTCTGAAATTATATTTACAATTTTTTTTCTCCTTCAGTAGTAGATAGGTTCGCCTGTCGTCCGGTTCACGCTTGGCATTGTTGCGGAATTTATGCTAAGTAAGATGTGTCAGAAGGTGAAATTGTGAGAAGGCCTAAAATGTGCATGTACATTATGCATTTATCCACAACAAATAAATTCAACGAACATTTGAAGAAATCAAGGCAAAAACAACATAGTTATAGATTTCAACAACAACATGAATTTATATATATGAATTTATATATATATCTGACATACACAAAGTGATGATAGGTTGCTTGTTAAATGTGGCAAGTGAGATAAGATTCCAAAGAGTGTCCATGCAAAGATTTGGTGAATTAATGTTGATGGTTTAAGTTTGTGAAATTAAAACAGTTTGATTTCTGCAAGGTAAAATGTCAATTGTGTGAGTTCAAATAATAGTGTGTATGTGTGTGACAATTGTAATTGTTGATTCAAGTTATGAAGAATAGTGTACCTTTGACTGATATGCTAAAGTTGATTAAATGTACAATTACAATTTCGTAGTGATAATGTCACTTTTTTAGTAAATTGTAAGTTAAGTTTCTTCACGCGGCAATAGTAGTGCTAGTTGTGTTGAGTTGATGAGAGGCTGGTAGTGGTATTGAGTCAGTGTGTTGGTACGCGTGGAGTCTGTTGGCATCTCTCGAAACTCGGTGTCTGACTGATTTGAATTAAGTCGAGCGATTCTTTTTTATAGATTTTTAGGTTTTCAAATAGGCTCCAGACAGCTACGCAGGAAAAACGGATTTGTCTCAACTTGCTACATTTTTGTGTCCTTTTAACCAATGGGAAGTTGAGTTTGGAAAAGTGAAGTGGTGATTCGTTAAAAGTTAATTTGGGGAAGAGTGCATCTTCCCGTAGGGGGTGACAGGCAAGTATGGAGGATTCCATAACATCTTACATTATAGAATTTTCATTTTTATTGTTATTTCTTCTGCTGTATATTTACTATTTCCTTTAAAGAAATTCATCTTAGCTTCTTTTTTAAAGTCATTTTATTTATTTTTTTTTTTTTAGTTAAGACTGTATATATATATATATATATATATATATATAAAATCTTACATTATAGAATTTTTATTTTTGGGATGTCTTTTACATCATGTAAAGATTATATTTCAACTTTTGTTATAAAAGTAGTTTTATTTTTGTTCTGTACTTATTTTATTTCTTATTTGCATATATATATATATATATATATATATATATATATATATATATATATTGTGTTTCCTGGGACAAAAGAATCCCAACAGATATACAAACCAGTAAACGTCGGTTTACGGTACGCAGATGTAATAAAACGTGACGTAGATCTGCTGACGAGTACATCGAGAAAGGGAAGAGATGAATCACCCTCCTTTTCCTGTGTAAATTTCAAGGCCGGATGTATATTGTTAAGGGACGCAAGAAATTGGTCTGCTTTAATCTCGATATCGAAGAGACAAAAACTGTCATCAACGTAACGGAAATAAACGTCAGGTTTATCAGATTTTAGTAGTACACTCTCTTTCTGGAACCCAACAAATATATTTGCTAAGATGGGCCCCAAAGGGGAACCCATCGAAACAGCATCAATCTGTCTGTACATGATGCCGTCGAAACTGAACTCAACTGACATCATAGCAAATTTCATCAGTTCAACAAACACGTCCTCCGGAATAACAGGCGGAGACAATTGACTACGATCTAGGGCATCAGCACATATATCGATAGTCTCAGCATGTGGAACGCAAGTAAATAAACTGGTGATATCATATGAAAACATAAATTTATTCGTAAGCAAATAACACTGCATAAAACGGGAAAATTCAAATGAATCTTTAATACAAGCAGAGTTATACTGCTCCAAAACTGGTTGCAGTACAGTGGAAAACCATCTAGCCATATCGTGTTGAGAAGACCCAATCATAGATAGAATAGGTCTCAATGGTCTACCAAATTTATGAGTTTTGGGTAAGCCATACAGGCGAGGACGAATGGAGCCCGAGGGGCTAATCAAGTTTGAAAGTGGCCAATTTTCCACTTTTTACCCACTTAACCAGACGTTTTTTTGGAACTTGGCCTCAATAGAATCAAATTTATCTTTTAGGCCTAAACGGACAAATTTAGAGGAATCTCCAAAAATTGTCATCATCTTGTTAACATAATCATGATAGTCGAGGATGACGGCGCCAGAACCTATATATATATATGTATATATATATGTCATCACCATCTTGCGGCCTCAGCCGAGATTGAACTCACTACACCTTTCCAGTATTCCCTATCTGTTATAGCTAATACTTTGATTGGCGTAGTTCATAATCTTGTCAAATAGCTGAATTCTTGATGCTTCGCTAGGGCTATCAAGGGTGTTTTTATCGTGACACCATCCAAGGCTCAGAGAGACTCCATTCACCCTCTGCAGGTTTTGAATTCAGAGTTTTCCTTCTCCTAGACCAGTTGCCATCCAAGGCTATAGAACCCAGTCTGTCCTGCTATTTACCCATAGCTGGAGGGAGAAGAAGAGGATTGTTAGCATGTAATTGAATTTAATGGATTCGACTGGAATTCGAACTCGGCTCTCCGATTCCTCAATCCAAGCCGCTATCCATTACTCCACCGTGCCTCCTATATATGTAAAATGTCTTACAATATAGCATTTTTATTTTTTCTATATCCTTTCAAAGATTTTGTCTGTAATTCTGTTAGAAAATATTAAAGAATGAATAGGTATGATATAAAAACCACAATATCTTTTATTCTTTGATATAAATCAGTCATAATGATATAGGCCTATTAAAGTTAGGGGCGTATGCATAGGCTTTATGAGATTTGTAGGCTATAATCACTTAATTACATAAAGAGGAGTCATAGTCGGAGGTGCCAACAATAGAGGAGTCGGAGTCGAAGGTTTTGTGTTCCGACTCCACTGCCCTAGTTATAACGATAAGTACTATGCTTCAAGTTTATTCTCTCGTACTTCTCACTTGTGGAACTCTTATCCGGTTTCGTGATTTTCTGTCAACTACGGTTTTCATAAATGTAATTTAGGTGTGTCCACTCAGTTTCGATACCTTGGTTTAAAATAAATTTTATAAAATGAAAAATCTTTCTTGAGGATTTCTGTGTAGCTTTAATTGAAAGCTAAATAATTAAATTTACTATTTTCAGTAAACAAAATATTCTAGTGTATTTCAAACAGAAATTATTGTTAATTAGAATTTCAACTTTTTGTTCGCTTTCAAAAATCGTTTAAATTCAGATATTTTTGACACATTTGTAAACAAAATTTAATTCTCGGTTTTAAAAATTTTTCAAAAATAAAATATACTTTTCTGATACTTTACTTGAGGAATATTAGCTGATTTGAAAAAAGATATTATTTACTTTAAATTTAAAATAACAGAAATGGATTTTTAAAACATACAGTAGCGCGATTAAGTGTTTGTCAACACTTTGTCAGTCGATTGACGAAGTGTTGACACTTTTATTATAGTTCTAAAGGAGATCTTATCTGTTAAAACAGAATTTAAGAAAATGACGGGTGAACGTTTTTTTATATAATTTTTAAGTACTCAGTAATCTTAGGAATGTTGGAAAATATACTCCGTAATCTAATTTTAGGAACGTTGAATTTAAATTTACTATAGTTATCGCTCTTATTTTCTGATTATGCCATGTATGGTCAACCATAATTTCAAACAGATGCAAGTTACGTATACACACACACACACACACACACACACACACACACACACACACACACACATATATATATATATATATATATATATATATTATAAATTAATTGATTTAAAATATGGTTTCTTCGCTACACAGTTCTAGCCATGTTTCAAAAATGGAAGCTAAAAGCCCCGAATTTAATTTTGTGATTAAATTAAAGACATTAGTTTCATTTCATCCTCAAGCGAATTTTGGAGTTCCTTCTCTTTGAATACCGTTCTTTGATTGTGATCAGTGTTTTTTGTTTTATAGTTTTTTTTTTTTTTTTTTCGTGTATTTTTTCACACTTCCAGCATCGTAGTGGCATTTATTTAAAAACTCATCGGGCCTGGGAACACCATATTGAGTGAAGTGGGTACTTGCTGGTACTCTTGTGTTCGGTTAACTGATCTATGGACAAATAACGAAGCCTAATCACTTTAGGAAACATCGACAGCCAGTGAGAAACAGAATCTTCTGATAGATTAATTAGATTTGGACAGACATAGATAGATAGATAGATAGATAGATAGATAGATAGATATGAATGGACTGAGATAGATAGATAGATAGATAGATAGATAGATAGATAGATAGATAGATAGATAGATATGAAATGACTGTGATAGATAGATACAGAAATGACTGTGATAGATATAAATAATTGTGATATATATATATATATATATATATATATATATATATATATATATATATATATATTGATATAATAATAATTGTGATATATATATATATATATATATAGAGAGAGAGAGAGAGAGATGAGAGAGAGTGAGAGATAAAGTGACAGTGATAGATAGATTTGAACAGACATAGATGGATTTGAACATAGACAGATAGATAGATTTAAATATAGATAGATAGATAAATAGAGAGAGAGAGAGAGAGAGAGATTTGAACATGGGTTTAAATATAGATAGATAGATTTGACCGAGAAAGACATACAGATAGATTTGTACAGAAACAGATAGATAGATAGATAGATAGATAGATAGATAGATAGATAGATAGATAGATATGAATGGACTGAGATAGATAGATAGATAGATAGATATGAATGGACTGAGATAGATAGATAGATAGATAGATAGATAGATAGATAGATAGATTTGAAGATACAGAGATTTTAATATAGATAGATAGATTCGACTGAGAAAGACATACAGATAGATTTGAACAGACAGAGATAGATAGATAGATAGATAGATAGATAGATAGATATGAAATGATTGAGATAGATAGATAGATATAGATAATTGTGATAAATACATATATAGAGAGAGGGAAAGAGATATAGTGCCAGAGATAGATAGATAGATAGATAGATAGATAGATAGATATGAAATGATTGAGATAGATAGATAGATATAGATAATTGTGATAAATACATATATAGAGAGAGGGAAAGAGATATAGTGCCAGAGATAGATAGATAGATAGATAGATAGATAGATAGATAGATAGATTTGAACAGACATAGATATATACATAGATAGATAGATAAATATTTTTTACGATTGTCGATGAAGGATTGAATTTACTTTCGATTATATTTGAATTCAGCATTAAATTCCAGAGATATAAGGCAACAAAAATCTTCTAGGAATACCTCTCTATCCTACCGAAAAACCTCCAGATCCAATGCCTCATAATTATCACACCGCATAAACCATACCTCTCTTTGTCTGTCGGCCCTTTTCTCGAGGTCAGTGCGGAAAAAAAATTGCCTGTCCATCGCTGGCATCACCAGTTACCGGCGGTTATTCTACAAACCTGGAACCTCTTTCTAAATGTCCGTTGACGAAGCCAAGGCATGACGATAAACAAATCAAGTGAAAACAAGCCGCATCTGAATAATGGCGTTTTCTTCTTTTTCTTTTTTTTAATTTTCTTCTGAAGTTTCTCTTGTTAATCAATCAACAATGACATTGGCGTCATTAACGTGTTCATTGTTTTGTCGCGGGAATCTGCAAAAGACTAATTATAATTTCGGATTATTTCAAAACGTCATTAATGTAGTGACTTCTCTTCGATCAAATATTGCATTCTTTTGTTATTTTTCGGAGCTTTATCTGATCGATTGATTTAATGCCAATTCTAACCACTTAAAGCAAATACTAACGACGCTTCGAAAGGTTTCCGTGAATCATCTTCAGTTAGAACGATGCAGAATGTTTCAAGTCGTTCATGCGATTGCATGATAAATTTTTTGAAAAATAAATAAATTTTAAAAAAATTAAAAAAAATAGATACATAAAAATAACATTGTGAATTCATCAGTTATCTCCCCTTGAAATAAATCTGTCTGAAACAAAATCCGTTTGTCCTATTTTTATAAAAAAAATTATTGCGAAGAAGGTTACTTTTACTATTTGACAGGTGAGCGTGTTAAGATATGGCAACTTTCAAAGAAGAGCATAGATATCTGTCTATATCTCGGAGATAAGGTAAAAAAAACCCAAAAATACGTTTGTCAAAAGGACGGTTACTCCTGTAGAAGTTAAATCACTTACCTGATAACATGGCTGCCCTCTTGTCTCTCTCTGTAAAGTCAAGCCAGTCAATCGATTCTATTCATACGAACCTATCCTGAAAATCTTGTCGGCATTAAATAACCCATTGAGGCTGATATGCCGTAAAACAAAATAAACCAAACCAAACTGATTTCTTACAAAGAATACATATTCTATTCATACGAACCTATCCTAAAAATCTTGTTGGCATTAAATAACCCATTGAGGTTGATATGCCGTAAAACAAAATAAACCAAACCAAACTGATTTCTAAAAAGAATACATATTCTATTCATACGAACCTATCCTAAAAATCTTGTTGGCATTAAATAACCCATTGAGGTTGATATGCCGTAAAACAAAATAAACCAAACCAAACTGATTTCTTACAAAGAATACATATTCTATTCATACGAACCCATCCTAACAATCTTGTCGGCATTAAATAACCATTGAGGTTGATATGCAAAAAAAAAAAAAAAACCAAACTAAACTGATTTCTTAAATAACCCATTGAGGTTGACAAAATAAAAGAACAAAGAATCCATATTCTATTCATACGAACCTATCCTAAAAATCTTGTCGGCATTAAATAACCCATTGAGGTGTTGATATACCTTAAAACAAAATAAACCAAATCAAACTGATTACTTACAAAGAATACATATTCTATTCATACGAACCTATCCTAAAAATCTTGTCAGCATTAAATAACCCATTGAGGTGTTGATATGCCGTAAAAAAAATAAACCAAATCAATTAACAGTACCTCTTTCATCAACAGGATACCTGAAGTATGCAATGTGATTAAAAACTTTGAATGAGTAAATTGAATAAATCTGACTAAGATATCTCATCAACTGCCTTTGTCATATATTTCTTTAAATTGTAAAGAGACTTTATGGTATGTCACGAATTTGAGTACCATCTTGATGTGCTTCGTGCAACTAATGGGGCTAATTAATTAGTTAAATTTTTTTAGTATGTACTCCTCATTTTGTAATTTCCAGGTATTTGTCTGTTTGTTTAATTTTGCAATATGTTTTTAATTGTAAAGGAACTTTAACGACACCTTGTATATGTGTCATCCGTCAGTCTTAGCATTATGCCTTAATTGCTGAGAGCGGCACATCATCTGTTATGATTAAAAGAAATTAAATTGGTTTTAGGTAGATTTAGATAACACGGATTTAGATTAGATTTAATAAATGACACTTTAATAAGAACATAATTTATTACGTAGAAAATACTTAGAAAGAATCCTGATAAATATTTTTTCATCAATAAACACCTGCCAAATAAGCTTTTATAAAATCCATACTTAAAGTATCTGTTATGATCACAACCTGTGTAACGTAAATATTTTCAAATAATTGTGTGCCTTTTCCTATCATATAATATATATATATATATATATATATATATATATATATATATATATATATATATATATGAGGAGAAGGAAAAAAGTGCCTGAGCGAGCGTTGGCAATTGGGAGTGGCTAGCCGCCCTAGTCGACAGCTATTCGAGTTAACGAGGAAATTATTCGTACACCCGTCGATTTTGTATATTTTTATCCATTCTTTTGCATAATTCACCTGTCAAATTTGTTGCATCTAATCTATTATTCTGAAAATTGAGTTTTATATTCCTTTTTTGTTCTTCTTAACATATTAAAAAGCTTGCATCACACGGGTATTAAATTATGAGAAAGAGATAAATATCTTCAAAACTGATGGATGTACGAATAATTTCGTCGTTGACTATATATATATATATATATATATATATATATATATATATAGATAGATAGATAGATAGATAGATAGATAGATATAGGAATATTCCAGGACAGCATAAGATATTAGATACTGCTTTTTGGACTGTAATAGCTGAAACTCCTCTCTCACGTATCAAAATTCACACGGACTGAGTTGGATCTTTTCTAATTGATCTCTTTAGCACAAAATTGGAATGATGATCCCTCTTGCTGTTGTGAATTCCTCATCCACTTTTCCTCCCTACTGTTATTTCTTTTTAATAATCATTCACCGTTGTCTTGTTGGGTTTTGAATGGAATTTGAAGTTAGAAGCCAGACTGTGAATGTGGGTACCATTACAGAAGGCCTGAATGATCTGGGATCAGTCTATCTACTCCACAACCGGTATAACATAAATATTTTCAATTATATTATATATTTTCATTTATATTATATATATATATATATATATATATATATATATATATATATATATATATATATGATTCCTCAATCCAAGCCGCCGAATGCATTACATTCACTTACGTGCTAATAACTTTGGGAAAGGTATGAATCCTCCCCCCCACCCTAGCTATTGGTAAATAGCAGGATAGACTGAGTTCTATAGCCTTGGATGGCAACTGGTCTAGGAGAAAGACAACTCTGAATTTAAAACCTGCGGACGGTCGTTTGGGGACCTTGTAGCACTTAGTGCATCAGGTCTCTGTATTCGGCCCTTCAAAAAGTGTGGATGGTCCTGCACGAAACCTTCACCACTATTATCAAATCTCATGTGCCGTTGTCGGGCTGACGATTTCCTGGGAACTGATCTACTTGACCCTCATACGTCGAATTCGACGGGAGAGTCGAATATATACACGGATATTCCAGGACAGTGTAAGATATTAGAAGTAAAATTTCATTTGTTTCCCTATTATAGGTTTAAGGAGTTGGAACTACGAATGAAGTGGTTAATGTTTGTGTTACATAAATCTGACACCTCGTTACCGGGGATCTACTACACAGGGAGTACCACCCTACAGCACTGAGAAGAGTTAAAGATTGAAGGAGGAGGAGAATAAACAGGATGAGAAATGAAATGAGGGGGAGGGAGGAGAGGAATAAGAATAAGAGTGAGGAGAATAAGTAGGAGGAGGAGAAAAGAGAAATATGGGGAAGAAGAAGAAGTAGAAGTAGAAGAAGAAGGAGGAGGATAAAGAGGAGGACGAGAAAGAGAAGGATGGGGAAGAAGAAGAAGGATAAAGAAGAAGGAGTAGGACAAGGAGGAGGAGGAAGAAGGAAGAGGAGGAGAATAAACAGGAGGAGAAGAAAGGGAATGGGGGAGGGAGTAGAAAAAAGAGGGGGAGAATAAACAGGAGGAGGAGAAGGATAAAGAAAGAAGAAGAAGGAGGAGGAGGAGGATAAGGAAGAAGAAGGAGGAGGATAAGGAAGAAGAAGAACGAGGAGGAGGATAAGGAAGAAGGAGGAGGAGGAAGAAGAAATAGGAGGAGGAGAATAAGCAGGATGAGAAGAAAGGGAAGGAGGGGAGGTAGTAGAAAAAGAAGAGGGAGGATAATAAACAGGAGGAGGAGAAGGATAAAGAAGAAGGAGGAGGAGGATAAGGAAGAAGAAGGAGGAGGAAGAAGAAGAAATAGGAGGAGGAGAATAAACAGGATGAGAAGGGAAGGAGGGGAGGGTGTGGAAAAAGAAGAGGGAGGAGAATAAAGAGGAGGAGGAGAAGGATAAAGAAGAAGTAGGAGGAGAAGGAGGAGAAGGAAGAAGAAGAAGGAGGAGGAGGAAGAAGAAATAGGAGGAGGAGAATAAACAGGATGAGAAGGGAAGGAGGGGAGGGAGAGGAAAAAGAAGAGGGAGGAGAATAAACAGGAGGAGGAGAAGGATAAATAAGAGGAAGAAGGAGGAGGAGGAGGAAGAAGAAGAAATAGGAGGAGGAGAATAAACAGGATGAGACGAAAGGGAAGGAGGGAGAGGGAGGGAGGAGAAGAAGAAGAATGAGGAGAATAAGCAGGAGGAGGAGAAGAAGAAGAAGAAGAAGAAGAAGAAGAAGAAGAAGAAGAAGAAGAAGAAGAAAATAAGGAGGAGGAGGAGGAACAAGAAGAAATAGGAGGAGGAGGAGGAGGAATAAGAAATAGCCGGAGGAGAATAAACAGGATGAGAAGAAAGTGTAGGAGGGGAAGGAGGGAGGAGAAGAAGAAGAATGAGGAGAATAAGCAGGAGGAGGAGAAGGATAAGGAGGAGGAAGAAGAAGGAGGAGGAAGAAGAAATAGGAGGAGGAGAATAAACAGGATGAGACGAAAGTGAAGGAGGAGAGGGGAGGGAAGAGAAGAAGAAGAATGAGGAGAATAAGCAGGGGGGAGAAGGATAAGGAGGAGGAAGAAGAAGAAGAAGAAGGTGGAGGAGGATAAGGAAGAAGAAGAAGAGAAGGAGGTGGAAGGATAAAGAAGAAGAAGAAGAAGAAGAAAATGAAGAAGAAGAAGAAGAGTTGACGTCCTTTATCCTGTGAATATACAGCCTTCCCCAAATAAAGAAGGGCCATCAGCAAGTGTCAAATTCTGGTAATATGCGATTGCGTACAGATCTCATTAGCTTTGGTCTGAGCCTAATGAGGTAGAAATCAAAGACCCGTACCACATTTCAAGACAAGTTAATGTACCATTTGACATTTTCATTGCTGTGAATGAGGCGCGAATGGTTCCATACAACACTTTGGCCATTAATAGTTCACTATTTTTTTTTAAATAAGTGCGTCTATATAAAAGTTAACGATGGAACTTTCGTTTTCTTTTTCTGAAAGTTATTTAAATAATCAATTTATCTGCTGAATCATGACTTTCTTTTTAAAAAAGAAAAATGTTTATTTTCACAAGGACGCGAAAATCAATAGCAAACTTGGTATACGTATATTAATATCGACGGCTGATGATAAAATACAAAAATATTTTATAAAAAAAAAACGAATTTCCAAAATTATTTCCCCATTGATTAAAAAAAATAATTTTAATTCTCTGCCTATATTTCTATTGTAATTATTTACACTATTTACAATGTTTGGACTATTGTCTTTATCTTTGTTGTCATATTCACTACGTTTCGGCCCTTGTACGATTCCGGCTTCTTCAGGATCTGTCTATGTTTCTGAGATGGGGTATTGTAATTATTTACACTATTTACAATGTTTGGACTATTGTCTTCATTTTTGTTTCCATATTCACGACGTTCCGGCCCTTGCACGATTTGGACTTCTTCAGGATCTGTCTATATTTCTGAGACGGGGTATTGTAATTATTCACACTATTTACAATATTCGGACAGCTGTATTCATCTTTGTTGCCATATTCACGACGTTTCGGCCCTTGTACGATTCGGCCTTCTTCAGGATCTGTCTATATTTCTGAGATGGGTATTGTAATTATTTACACAATATACAATGTTCGGACTGTTGTCCTCATCTTTGTTGCCATATTCACGACTTTTCGGCTGTTGTAGGCTACGGCCTTCTTCAGGATCTGTCTATATTTCTGAGATGGGGTATTGTAATTATTTACACAATATACAATGTTCGGACTGTTGTCCTCATCTTTGTTGCCATATTCACGACTTTTCGGCTGTTGTAGGCTACGGCCTTCTTCAGGACCTGTCTATATTTCTGAGATGGGGTATTGTAATTATTTACACTATTTACAATGTTCGGACAATTGCCCTCATCTTTGTTGACATATTCACGACGTTTCAGCCCTTGTACGATTTGGCCTTATTCAGGATCTGTTTATATTTCTGAAATGAGGTATTGTAATCATTCACACTATTTACAATGTTCGGACTGTTGTGCTCATCTTTCTTGCTATATTCCCGACGTTTCGACAGTTGTACGCTTCGGCCTTCTTCAGATGATATACGTTGGAATTTTATCCAGTCTACGGAGTTAGATTGTTCTAATTTCCTGGCCCAGAGTTAGTTGAGAAATCTGAAAATGACCTCACCAAAAATAGCTATTAGCGCAAAACTTGGCCACAGTTGAGGAAACAAAGGAAAATTTGAATTACTAAAAGGAAATTAACGGGAACTGAGATATAGCCCCCCCCCCCCAAAAAAAAGGAGGGGTGTATGGCACGTGGAATTAGAACAATCTAATAACTCAATAAAGTGTTCGGTTAGAAATTCCTGTATCCCCTATTCTTGCAAAATGCCACTAAGCCTTATGTTGACGATGATTGCCCAGTCTTCAGTTATTCGCCTCTTCAGATCATCTCTGTCTTTGAGAGGGGAGGTAGCTACACGAGGCCTTTCAAATATCCCCAAAGTGAGGTCTGGAGATCTAGGAGGCCATCGCAGGAATACGCCGTAAAGTCCGTCCCATCTGCGAGGTAGAATGTTGTTCAAAATTAAGATTTAATTAAAAATTAAATTAACAGAAGAAAACTTAACACTTTTAGCTTCTAAATGCTCCCAGTTCAATCATAATACCATTTTCAGTTCATTATATAAGAGTTCTTAGAACGTGAAAGACTTTTGAAACACCCTGTATTATATAAATCTCTCTCTCTCTCTCTCTCTCTCTCTATATATATATATATATATATATATATATATATATATATATATATATATATATGTATACATATATATATATATATATATATATATGTAAAAATTTGATAAGCCAACTCCATTCACGATATGGTTTTTTTTCGTTTTCTCCGTCTCTTTCATTCTAAGTAGTAGCCGTCGTCGACTTACGACCTATGCGACTTACGACTGTTTGACTTTACGACTAGGACCGCTTATTGGTATGTCTGGCCTTCTGGTGACGACTGCCAGTACTGAATAAACTTTTAGCTTTTAAATTCTACCAGTTTAATCATGATGCCATCTGTAGTTCATTATATAAGAGTTCTTCGAATGGGAAAGACTTTGGAAACACCCTGTATTATATATATATATATATATATATATATATATATAAAGACTTGATAAGCCAACCCCATTCATTAAGAAATTATCGAGTGACAGGGATTTAGAGATATTTGGCTACTTTGTCAGTGATAAAGATGCCATTCGTGCTATGAGTGGAGATTTGTTTCTCTAAAGATAGTGTGGGACAAAACCTCTTCCGTAATACCAAACGCATGTCTGGATTAAAATGAGTCAGTCAAGAAAATCCGCAGATATTTTCATCCAGATATTTGGAAAGCTTCTTAACATGCTTATGGAGTCTTCAGATCGTCAACGCAGAGGTTGCGTGAGTTTCTTTTCTTATTCTTACAATCTGCAATAATTTTAATGAAAAGTCAGTTGCCATCATATATCTCTTATATGTATTGTAACGTTTTCTCCAACTCTTTCATTCTACGTAAAGGCCGTCGTCGAATTACGACCCATGCGTCTTACGACTGTTCGACTTTACGACCACGTCCGCTAATTGGTGTGTCTGGCCATCTGGTCACAACTGCCACTACTGAATAAACTCTGAAGGAATGACACCATATATGGAAAGATTTACAAGGACTGAAAAGATGACCCACGATATGTTTGTTTGTTTTTTTTTTTCGTTTCTTTTTTTTATTTTTGCTATTTGGCGTAATGGTTATGAAAGTGGAAAACAAAAACGACAGGCTATGTTCAAATCCAACTCGTGAGCTTTTAACGATATTTAATAATCTTAATGTGGCACAGGGTCATATAAATCAAGACAATACTGAAATCGAAAGGGTTATGAGCTCGGAAATCTAGTCTTTGATATATGCCATGTCTATTCAAGACATTAGTAACAATACCTCTTTAAATTCCAAGGAAATATCTGCAATATTACTGGTGCCAAATTGGAATCTTGACTTCAATGACTTTCCCACCGTCATAACGTAGCCTCCCTCTGCCTTTTCTATATGGCAGTGAATGCTAGACAATCTCCTTACAGATCAAGAAGAGACTTGAAGCAACAGACACAAAGAAAAGTGTACTGAACTGTTATGTAATATCAGTCCTCCTATATGGCAGTGAATACTGGACAATCTCCTCACAGATGAAGAAGAGACTTGAAGCAAGAGAAACAAAGAAAAGCGTACTCAACTGTTATGTAATATCAGTCCTCCTATATGTCAGTGAATGCTGGACAATCTCCTTAAAGATGAAGAAGAGATCTGAAGCAAGAGAAACAAAGGAAAAAGCACTGAACTGTTATGCAATATCAATCTTCCTATATGGCGGTGAATACTGGATAATCTCTTCACAACTGAAGAAGATTGGTTGCTTGGCATCTTCACTTCAATGACTTTCCCACCGTCATAACGTAGCCTCCCTCTGCCCTTTCTAAATTGACATCAAGGTCATTTCGTTTTACTGTTGAAATTTCTAGAAATAACCCTAAGTTCTATTCTTCTGCTTCTCTTAAAATTCTCACCTCGGAATGACTAACTGATTTGCTTTTTCTTTTTTGGTGGTGGTGGTGATGGTGGTGGGGGCTTTCTTTTTTTGTGGCTTTGTTGCCTATGTAAACTCGAAAAATATTCTTGGATTTTAAAAATAATTCTTTCCTTTTTTTGCGAATGAATATTATATTGACAGTTTTTTGGAGATACCAATGTGTTTTCGAGACACAAGTGTTACTATTTAACCCATAGCCGAAGGGAGAAGAGAGAGATCCATTCTTTATTTTTCCCAGGGGTTTTTGCGCGTAAGTGACTGTAACGAACTCGACTAGAATTCGAAATTGGCCCTCCGATTTCATATTCTGGCTCGTTAACTATTACACCAATGCACAGTCTTCTGAATTATGGAACTCTCTTCCATCTTCGTTCCTTCAAATTGCCCCAAAGAAAGAAGTCACATGCCGTGAGGTCTGGAGACTTAGGTGGCCATCGGAAGAACACAAGAGCAGAGTGTTGTTCAAAAATTAGATTTAATTAAATCAAAATTAAATTAACAGAAGAAAACTTGACACTTTAGCTTTTAAATGCTCCCAGTTCAGTCATAATACCATTTGCAGTTCATTATATAAGAGTTCTTAGAATGTGACAGACTTTTAAAACACTCTGTATGATATATATATATATATATATATATATATATATATATATATATATATATATATATATATAAAGGCATGATAAGACAACTCCATTCATTAAGAAATTATCGAGTGACAGGGATTTAGAGATATTTGGCTACTTTGTCAGTGATAAAGTTGCCATTCGTGCAATGAGTGGAGATATTTTTCTCTGAAGAAGGTGTAGAACAAAACCTCTTCCGTAATACCAAACGCATGTCTGGATTAAAATGAGTCAATCAAGAAAATCCGCAGATATTTTCATCCAGATATTTGGAAAGCTTCTTAACATGCTTATGGAGTCTTGATAGCTCCAACGCGTCTGAATAATGTAAATAGTGTACATAATACCTCATCTCAGAAATATAGACAGATACTGAAGGGCCGGAACTTTGTAATAAATATTGCAACAAAGATGAGGACAATAGTCCGAATAATGTAAATAGTGTACATAATGCCTCATCTCAGAAATATAGACAGATACTGAAAGGTCG